GGCATTGCCTTCCTGTGTACAAACTGAAGCGGATTGTTTGGAGGTAAGGAATAGAAGTGGAATAATCAAGCAAATTAATATTTTCTAAAAAAATGTGTCCCATTTCAGGATAGCGGGGATCTACGAAGAAGAAACTGCAATTAACAAGCGAATGGTTCCGGATCCTCAGTCGATGAACGGCATGCAAACGGCGAACTGGAAGACTCATACGGAAGAACCACTGTGACTATTATCAACCAGATAACTTTTTTCCCCTGAATATTGCAACACGTCGGCTGATACTGAAGATGGTGCCCGGTTTTAAGATGTCGGCAGTGTTTCAAGCAGAATTCGATCACCTGATTCCGAGCCAATAAACAATATAAAGGCCGTTCGCAATGCTGAGTTTCAAAATTGTTTTAAACTACTCGTCAATTCTATAATTTGAAACTGTCAAAAATAAAACTGCAACACGATCAGCGCAACGCACAGTTCTAAAACATGTTTGTAATCATCAAGTTCCATAAAATTTACTGTTCTCTATGAAGTTCTCCGTTTTTTATTTGTGGAGCTCTTCGAAACATCTTCAACACATCCAAAGAAATTTGAAACAGAGTTCCATTCGTGTTTCAAACTCGCTCAGAAATAAAACAGAATAGTCGAGCAGTTGCAAATCTGGTTCAAAATAGTGCTCGAATAATGAAACTGCAACTCAGCATTGGCGTCTTGCAGTGAAACTTTTCCAAGCTTTCGCCACCTACATTTCGAAGTGAGAACTACTAGAAGGAAGATAGCTCCAAATTTTCCAAGTAAAACAGACGCTTTTTGGGGCAAATCGGTCCATTAAGAAAAACTAATAATTTCCCGTGGAAACTTTTGCTTGAATCGTGTAAGAAAGCGTGTTTGAAAACTATTTGTTATTATTTCGGTATGGATCGGAGATGTTTTCATGGCAAATTATGCATAACAAGTTTGCACCCACAGGGAGAGGTTACCTCCTGCGCAGCTGCATTTTTCAGAAAATGGTAAATATGTGAGATTTACACTAAGATGAAAGTGGAAATTAAGTTCATTTACTTATGAAAGGTTGTATCATGCTGGTGGTAATGGAGAATTGGTTGTATAGGACGCCAATATTAAATAAATGTTCATTTTGGCCTTTTCTAAGAAAACATATTGATACTCACAATTTTCGACGGAAAACGCAACGGAACTTGCTTTACTCAACACGCACCATACTATAAAATGGTGCTAGATGGTCTTCAAAGTGATAACAAGAATACAAATCATCTTTATTTTGAGTAATTGAGCAATTTACTTCTGTTTACATCATATTTACAATGCAGCATTGATGGAGCCGCGAAATGAAATGAATATATCTAATGAAAGTTCAACTGGAAAAGTCAAAGATGCATATCAGTCTGATCGTGAAAACGTTTTCTTCTTCAATTCGAATGTTATATTGGAAGGATTTTACACAGGCTTGATGAAAATTATGATTTAACGCTAATTTTCACGAATTTTATATGCAGTCTGTCAACATTATCATCATCATGCAGTGGCGACATCTGCGTTGAGATTTTACGGCAATCTTCCAATTGCGAGAGGTGCGTTTCTGTTCTAGTTTCAAATTGAAACAGTCCTTATAAAATACAACAGCATTGCGAACGGCCTAAAGCGTTTTAATGATTGATGTTTATTCATTTTTCCAAAATGTACTACACGGTAACCCCAAAATACCCAATAATGACTACAAAGTAAGCATTTTCAAGGGAGACTGGGACTACCCATGAAATAAGTAAAAATATTACCCATTTATGAGTATTTGTTATTCAAAAATGAATACTTACTACTTGTTTTTGTAGTTGTAACTACTCATAAATGGGTAAAATGTTACTCATTTAATGGGTAGTCCCAGTTTCCCTCGAAAATGCTTACTTTGTAGTCATTATTGAGTATTTTGCGGTTACCGTGTAGGGGAATTTACGTACACAGAAAAACAAAACTACCCACCGCTTGGGTTTTTTAAACTCAAATTTGAGTTATTTGACCTCAGCCCGTTTCATTTTCTCTCGCTATTGTTGTCAAAAATAGAACGAAAGATTCGACTCAACCGTCTAGTTCCGTACGAGAAGCCAAAATTGAGTAATATGCGATATACCCAAATTTGAGTTAATTGAACTTAATTTTGGGTAGAAAAAATTGAAAATAACTTAGCGATGGGTAATTTTTTTTGCCATGCTTAAATGCAAACTACTTTGAGCCGGTTTACCCAAATTTGGCTTATTGTACGGAACATGGGAGATGAGTGAAAAGAACTTAATTTTGGGTTGTTTTGAATTTCTGTGTACGCATTCTCGGCAACCTACACGCTAACTTCAAATTACCCATTAAATGAGTATCTTGTACTCATTTTGTGTATTCATTCCGAGCTGTCAAAAAAGGGGTATTTTCATAAAATGGAAAGCGGATAATTTTGATTCATTTTTGATATTGGCTTCCCGCATAAACGCGAACCATAAATTGACCTTACCTAAAATGGTTAAAAATTATTTATAATCCCTGCTAAACTTTAACTGAAATGGTTATGGAACTTTACATGAACGTTTAATGATAAAGTTTCAACCTTATGTATTATGGTTTTTTGGAACTGGACCTTACAAATAATGGGTTGTTAAGAACCATTACCATTCCAAATTCTTGTTTTCTCCATACATTTTCAGAAAGAGAACTATATAAGAACGTTTTTACTTATGATTTGAGAACATTAATGGTAATGGTTATGGTAGTCAGTAAGGTCCATTAATGGTTTTGTATTATCGCTCAACTTTACGTGGAATATATCGTGAATTGGTAATCAGTAAATTACAGGCAACCAATTCGCGATATATTCCACATAAAGTTGATCGATGTTACAAAACCATTCGTGGACCTTACTGACTACCATAACCATTACCATTAAAGTTCTCAAACCATAAGTTAAAAGGTTCTAATATAGTTCTCTTTCCGAAAATGTATGGAGAAAACAAGAATTTGGAACGGTAATGGTTCTTAACAACCCATTATTTGTAAGGTCCAGTTCCAAAAAACCATAATACATAAGGTTGAAACTTTATCATTAAACGTTCATGTAAAGTTCCATAACCATTTCAGTTAAATTTAAGCAGGGATTATAAACAATTTTTAACCATTTTAGGTAAGGTCAATTTATGGTTCGCGTTTATGCGGGTTCTTGTAGTTAAAATGGCTAACATTTTCAAAGAGCAGAAGCTAGAAGCATGCTCAGTGCGGAAGTGAAACTTTCAACCCGAAAAACTGGAAGGTAAGAATATTTTTCGTTTATTTTTATTTTTCTGCAATTCATATGATGCTCTTTGTTCGTTACAGGCTATCCTAATTTGTCATCTCTAGAAAGCTGTACGAGATGATTTTGCAGGATTTCATGCCAATATACAACAGTAAGCCAAAGTACCAGGAGGAGAAAAGGACGCAAAAGTTACCGAATCAAAAATCCTTTTATAATTTCCAGCTTAGCACAAGCGGTAGACTTTTTTTTAATGCTTTTGAGTGTTGAATGTGCCCTCGAATGTGCCATTGTTTCATCATTCAAATAAATAAAGTGTTTTGTTGATCTTAAGTGGACCTCTGACGTATTTATTATTGTTAGTTATGAGCCCTATGAAGTAATTAAAATAATGGGTACTTTTTATTCATTGCCAAAAAACACGAAGGATAAAAAATACCCATTTTATGAAGTACTAGTCGAATACTCATTAATGAGTAAACTCGGTTTTACTCATTTCATGAGTTAAGCCACTTTTCTTCGAAATGGGTAAAATTTTACTCTTTAATGAGTACTTTGAAGTTAGCGTGTAAGCAGCGACGTTCTTTCTATAGCCTTTTTCTCTAAGGAACGCACACATATGCAGTATTGGTTTGTTTACAATCTTTTGCTGCCAGCTGCTCTAACAATTTCAGTCGAAAGAAATGTCAAAAACTGTTTTGAAACGCTTTTACAAAGCTCCAATCTTCTCTAGTGAGAGCGAGTATTGTCGGCAACCAGTTTTTCTTCGGCAACCGTTCCATTTGAACTGCATGTAAATCTGCTGTTCTATTATCGGCAACTCGAAATCAGCTACAATTTGTAGTGCGTGTGTTGCATTTCAAGAAAACCTTGCCAGATTGCTTTTTCTCAGTGGTAAAAATATAGTCAAATTGAAGCTGAAAGCATAAAGAATCGTTTGCATGCATTCAGCGAAGTGTTTTCGTAAGAAAATCCAGTGAAAATATTGTTTCAATTTGGGTTGCCGAAAATAGTCTGTCATGTCGAAGCCGTCATTTCCCCTACTTGGTTTTATATTTGATGGCAGAATGCACCTGACGCAAAATTTGAAATAAAATGAATACTTTTTACTCATGAACAAAAAAAGCATCAAGAATAAAAAAGACCCATTTTCTGAAGTATTCGTCGAATACTCATTAATGAGTAAAGTCGGTTATACTCATTTCATGAGTAAAGCCACTTTTCTCTAAAATGTGTTAAATTTTACTCATTAATGGGTACTTTCAAGTTAGCGTGATATTCACAGTAGGATTGGGCGATCTATATTTGAGAGATCGATCTTTTATCTCGATTATCGATTTTTAGAATTGATTGTTTCCCAAAAGGAAAAATGTTAGCGTTAGACCAACGTTAGACGTGACCATGATGCTCGATCTACATGACTCGGGTCGAATTATGCTCGGGCTACATGGTTCGAGTCGGCTTTAGCTCGACTAGAGTGTGTTCGCAGCTCTGTAACTCTTTACTAGAAATCCATCTGGAGATTTCTACTCTTCACTCCTATGGTTAAATCCCATTAGAAAACGTCTGTGCGAAATCGCGGACATCGTACTATCCTCGTACTCAAGCGAAAATTCTCATAAGAATCTGTCAATCTCTGACGATATAAGATGATTTTCTACGGTGCTGTCAACACCACACGGAAAAACGAGTCTATGCATTAATGAATATTTTTCAACCACTTTTGGGAGCTTGTTCGAGCTGTCATAGAGTGGTTTAAATGTATAGCAAAAAAGTGTATACAATTTAGACATTTCCAGAGAAAACCATTTTTCAACAGAAGTGTTTAAATTTTATTCACTATTGGCTGAAAAAAAACTTGACAACAATCATTTTTAGAAAACGCGGCAGCCATCATTGATCAACTTTTTCGCAGGTAGATATATTGTTTATAGTATAATAGATACAATTTAATAGTAATTTATCATTCTCTTTTCATTTCCAGAGTTCGGTGAGAACTACCAGAAGACGTGGGAATCAGGAATTGCTACTTCCTTCGCAATCGAGTGGCGGACCGAAAATGAAGTTTTTTTTTCCGAAAAGCAATCACTAAAATGACCTTTCCCAACATGATTTCCGGTTCATTACAGTCTTTCCCAAGCAGTAAGTACTACTGTAAATATTCTTCTTGCCATGGTATTAACCAAGGAGGGGGGGAGGTGGCTGTCAAATACGAACAATCGTCGCCTACCTCGCATGCCTCGCATAACTGGTTCCAAACGTAAACAAGCCATAAGAAACCTACAGCGATTGTTTACGTTTGGAGCCAGTTTCATACAAGAATGATCAGTAGGCTGATTTGACAGCACGTCCCCCCCCCCCCCAGGTATTAACACCACAATGCTTCGCTTATAGACTGAATCAGACTAAATCGTCCTCCTTCCAGCAGGCTGAAATGGTTTTACAACATCATCGGCATGGCAAGGTATCATCGCGGATGGACCACTGGCGGAGCACCGACCGATACAATCAACAAGACTTCGTCTACACCCGCCGCGGGTTTGGCTGACTGCGGGATCATCTGTGATACAGAGCATGATCCATTTCATCGATATACTGCAGAACGTCGTGGCGCAAATAGTTCCGGCCAATGGAAATCATGTGTGGCCCACGATCATGTATGCCCACGATCATCAGATTTTAATAATAAGTGTTTATTCATCAAGAAATACACATAACTTTTTATTGGTTTTTTATTTTATTGCTAATTTAATAAATTATTTTGAAAATATGAGAAAACAACCATTTAAAATCTTTCCGGTGTAAAATTTAACCACTTTTGAGAAAAACGTCTTTATTCATTAATGATTAAAATTTAATCACTTTCGAGAAAAACGCGTTTATTCATCCGATGAGTAAACAGCGTTTATTCATTTTATGAATAAGTGCGGGTTTTCTCGAAACTGTTTAAAATTTAAACATTAATGCATACTTTTTTCTTAGCGTGCAATTCGTTTACTGTTTAGTTCGCTTCGTAGTTTCCCGTGAGTGCATCCTTTTTCCCTCGGTTGTTTTCCGTAGAATTTAAACTTTAAATGTTAGGGTGAGACAATGTCACTGAGATATGGTTAGTTGGGTATTCAGATGAAACTATTACATTGAAAAACTAATCCTGGTTGTATCTCTTTTTCGTTTGCATGAAGCACTATTTGATATTACGAACCGCACCGAGCGTTCATTGCGGGTGGTAAGCGATCCTGAAGAAGAAAAAGATGACTATACAGGATGAGTGGTACACGGACAGAAAATTGTTTGCATTGAACTAAAAAAAACTTTATTCGTATTTACACAAACAATTCCGGTTGAAATTATGTTGCATTTTATTGTTTCGATAATATTTATTCAAATAAATTCAAAATAAGATTCTTTTTGTTTTCATAAGCCACTCTTCAACTGCAACTATTGTAAAAATAACAATATTCTTTTATCAAGCCAACAATAGTTAATTTTAATTTAACATTTATTTGTTGTGTCAATTCCCCGGGCCATGAATGCAAAAATAACTACCAACCATTCCCTCGTGAAAACCCGGACAAAAATGTAAACAATAACAAAAAAATTCTCGTTTGATTCAGCTCTAGAGGTAAGTAAGTATGCTGCTGTTGCATAATATAAACAGTTTTTCTTTTTTTCCTTGATTTTTTCCGTCGATCTTATTTTCAGTACTGCGTACCAATGCTCCCAACGCCAGGAAGGTCGCTCCCACACCTGGACCCTACCTATCGACCCATCAACTCATGAACCGGAGAGATTTTATGCCTCAGAAAGTTTTTTTTTAATTTAATTGTAATTCTGTTGATAACAAATAGAAAACAAAACATAAAAATAATCGCAAATTATTAAAAATTGAATCAATAAACATATTTTTATTTCTACTGCGTATATTTTTAGGCTTAATAAAATAAATATGATTGAATCAACAAGAAATCTCTTTTAAAAACAAACATATTTTTTTGTTGACCCAGCTGCCAAATTTGACAGCTTACGTCAAAACCATAAAAGCTCTTGTAAATTCGAAAAGATTTTCTTTTTGATTTAACAATCCATGGGTTTTTAAAAACAAAGATACTGGATTGTTGAAATAATAATGATTTCATTTTGTAGCCAAAACAAAATGAAATTCTTATTAAATTTACGTCAAATATTATTACGTTTAAAATTTTTTTCTGCGTGTACCATGAGCCCCTTCTCGGAACGAGTGTATTGTTAATGGAGCTGGTCTACGATTCAAGGTTGGATTCTGTGATGATAGGTATCACATAAAAGGTAAAATAGGTAGCATCATCTTTCTCGAAATGTAAGTATTATTGGCAATAATAACAACTTTTTTTTTTTTTCATTTTGTTTATTTGGCAGGCTCAAATGTTAAAAGAATAACTTAGCGGAGCCGAGTAACATGGAATACCAATTTTGGTACTCAAAATACAAACAAAAGATATACAAATGCATATTATTAAAGGATTTTCCTGGGTGGCGATCGAAGCGGCGACAAAGCGATCTTCTCCCGTGCACGCAACTTCTTTCTTTCCCGAATTTGTTCCTCATTTTCGTTGAAACCGAAACGTGATCGTTGCTGCTGCATCTGAACATCGTTTCCGGTTGCATGCTCTCCGCTACTCTCGTCGGTCGTCGGGGTCGTCTCGTCCATTTCGTTATCTTCATTCAACATCTCCAACCCCGTGTCCGTTTCCTGGTCGCTAATGACAAACGACGCACCTTCCATCACTACACCAGCATACGTACTGCTGCTGTTTTGTTTTCTTTCACCTTGCTTTCCTTTTTCCTTTAGTTGCTTCTCCGGTTCCTTCCGAGCCTTCCGCTTGGGACAAGAAAGCTTCCGGTGTCCGTCCGCCTTGCACAGAAAACATTTATCTTTGTTGCCATCATAAAATATATTTCCTTTGCGGTTGAAGAAATACAATGACGTGGGGATTTCCTTCTTCACATCCATATATATACCGCGTATCCCTGTATAAACCTCAAAGCACAGATCAGATGGAAATTTCTCCCGGATGATGCGTTTAATTTTTCCATATTTCCCCAGCACTTTATCCAGCTCGTTGTCCGGTACCTCTGGTGGCAAGTCATACACACGCACATACTGGATAAATTCACCAGCATGCGACATGCGTACCTTTGCCGTCGTTCCATTCTCATAATGGAAGATTAAATCCTCCGAATTGTATGTGAGAGCATGGAGCATCGCTTCCTCTGATTTGAACTTTATGAAGACTCCCCTTTGCTCACCAATGCGATAAACAGCTTCCATTTCAGCCGGATCCGCGTCGAGTGCTTTGGCGAAATTTACAATCTCTCCGATGTTTGGTTTAGCATCATAATGGCTGAAGCTAAACTTGATGGTGTTTTTTACTTCACACATCTTGCACCGTAGCAACAAAAGGCACAAACTGATAGCAACGAACAAAGAGCAACTATATAATAGCGAGTCTCAAAAACAGGCTATCGCGTGGTTCACACCGAAATAAAAATTCGACTGCTGCTGTAGACAGCTGTGGGACAACTGCAATAATAACAACTATATGATATGCAAATTTGTACGATAGGTACCTGGATCAACGTTATTTAAACATGCGTATTCAATCTCGATGACATCTAATTCTTCATTTTAACACCTTTGCCTCTTCTTTCTCTCATCCTTCACCTATGCATCAACGCTTCTATGTTAAGGATCAACTTAACCCTTATTTAATATTCGGCTGATTTCAATCGACTCGCATAAGTCATTATCTAAGAGCCATCTCATCTTTATCTGTTTGATTGCTACATGGAAGGTGTTTAATTGGTCGTCAACATTACACTGACGAGCAGGCTCAATGCCCCCTCCAAAAAACATAATCTATCTATCTATCTATCTATCTATCTATCTATATATAAGAATGAATTTCTGTCTGTCTGTCTGTCTGTCTGTCTGTCTGTCTGTCTGTCTGTCTGTCTGTCTGTCTGTCTGTCTGTCTGTCTGTCTGTCTGTCTGTCTGTCTGTCTGTCTGTCTGTCTGTCTGTCTGTCTGTCTGTCTGTCTGTCTGTCTGTCTGTCTGTCTGTCTGTCTGTCTGTCTGTCTGTCTGTCTGTCTGTCTGTCTGTCTGTCTGTCTGTCTGTCTGTCTGTCTGTCTGTCTGTCTGTCTGTCTGTCTGTCTGTCTGTCTGTCTGTCTGTCTGTCTGTCTGTCTGTCTGTCTGTCTGTCTGTCTGTCTGTCTGTCTGTCTGTCTGTCTGTCTGTCTGTCTGTCTGTCTGTCTGTCTGTCTGTCTGTCTGTCTGTCTGTCTGTCTGTCTGTCTGTCTGTCTGTCTGTCTGTCTGTCTGTCTGTCTGTCTGTCTGTCTGTCTGTCTGTCTGTCTGTCTGTCTGTCTGTCTGTCTGTCTGTCTGTCTGTCTGTCTGTCTGTCTGTCTGTCTGTCTGTCTGTCTGTCTGTCTGTCTGTCTGTCTGTCTGTCTGTCTGTCTGTCTGTCTGTCTGTCTGTCTGTCTGTCTGTCTGTCTGTCTGTCTGTCTGTCTGTCTGTCTGTCTGTCTGTCTGTCTGTCTGTCTGTCTGTCTGTCTGTCTGTCTGTCTGTCTGTCTGTCTGTCTGTCTGTCTGTCTGTCTGTCTGTCTGTCTGTCTGTCTGTCTGTCTGTCTGTCTGTCTGTCTGTCTGTCTGTCTGTCTGTCTGTCTGTCTGTCTGTCTGTCTGTCTGTCTGTCTGTCTGTCTGTCTGTCTGTCTGTCTGTCTGTCTGTCTGTCTGTCTGTCTGTCTGTCTGTCTGTCTGTCTGTCTGTCTGTCTGTCTGTCTGTCTGTCTGTCTGTCTGTCTGTCTGTCTGTCTGTCTGTCTGTCTGTCTGTCTGTCTGTCTGTCTGTCTGTCTGTCTGTCTGTCTGTCTGTCTGTCTGTCTGTCTGTCTGTCTGTCTGTCTGTCTGTCTGTCTGTCTGTCTGTCTGTCTGTCTGTCTGTCTGTCTGTCTGTCTGTCTGTCTGTCTGTCTGTCTGTCTGTCTGTCTGTCTGTCTGTCTGTCTGTCTGTCTGTCTGTCTGTCTGTCTGTCTGTCTGTCTGTCTGTCTGTCTGTCTGTCTGTCTGTCTGTCTGTCTGTCTGTCTGTCTGTCTGTCTGTCTGTCTGTCTGTCTGTCTGTCTGTCTGTCTGTCTGTCTGTCTGTCTGTCTGTCTGTCTGTCTGTCTGTCTGTCTGTCTGTCTGTCTGTCTGTCTGTCTGTCTGTCTGTCTGTCTGTCTGTCTGTCTGTCTGTCTGTCTGTCTGTCTGTCTGTCTGTCTGTCTGTCTGTCTGTCTGTCTGTCTGTCTGTCTGTCTGTCTGTCTGTCTGTCTGTCTGTCTGTCTGTCTGTCTGTCTGTCTGTCTGTCTGTCTGTCTGTCTGTCTGTCTGTCTGTCTGTCTGTCTGTCTGTCTGTCTGTCTGTCTGTCTGTCTGTCTGTCTGTCTGTCTGTCTGTCTGTCTGTCTGTCTGTCTGTCTGTCTGTCTGTCTGTCTGTCTGTCTGTCTGTCTGTCTGTCTGTCTGTCTGTCTGTCTGTCTGTCTGTCTGTCTGTCTGTCTGTCTGTCTGTCTGTCTGTCTGTCTGTCTGTCTGTCTGTCTGTCTGTCTGTCTGTCTGTCTGTCTGTCTGTCTGTCTGTCTGTCTGTCTGTCTGTCTGTCTGTCTGTCTGTCTGTCTGTCTGTCTGTCTGTCTGTCTGTCTGTCTGTCTGTCTGTCTGTCTGTCTGTCTGTCTGTCTGTCTGTCTGTCTGTCTGTCTGTCTGTCTGTCTGTCTGTCTGTCTGTCTGTCTGTCTGTCTGTCTGTCTGTCTGTCTGTCTGTCTGTCTGTCTGTCTGTCTGTCTGTCTGTCTGTCTGTCTGTCTGTCTGTCTGTCTGTCTGTCTGTCTGTCTGTCTGTCTGTCTGTCTGTCTGTCTGTCTGTCTGTCTGTCTGTCTGTCTGTCTGTCTGTCTGTCTGTCTGTCTGTCTGACCCTTATAGACTCGGAAACTACTGAACCGATTGGCGTGAAAATTTGTATACAGGGATTCTTGGGGCCGTGGAAGGTTCTTATGATGGTTCGAGACCCCTCCCCTTTCTGTAAGGGGGGGCTCCCATACAAATGAAACAGAAATTTCTGCGTAACTCGAGAACTAATCAAGCAAATGGAACCAAATTAGGCATGTGGGGGCGAGTGTGGGGGTATAAGGAGATAATCATAGGGGGTAGCCCCTTAGATAATAGGGGGGGGGGGCAACGTACAATATAACATGCTTTTTTTTAAATCGTCGCATAAACTCAAGCTAATATTGAATCCCGAGCAAGACCGGGCACACTCAGCTAGTTATTGGAATTAAGAAGAAAATTACTGGTTAGACAAATAAAATGCATTTCAATTAGTGAATGCAGCTGCTATGTGTAAACATTAATCTGTTACCGAACGTCGAGTGTACTTTATGAACCACTATTAATCGATGATGAAGCACTTAGGGCCTGTTCATAAACTACGTAGACAGTTTTTTGAGATTCTTGACCCCCCCCCCTCCCCCTGCGTAGACAATTGTCCATACAAAATATTTAAAATTTGTATGGGCCGTGGATAATTCTCAACCCCCCCCCCCCCTAAACTGTCTACGTAGTTTATGGACAGCCCCTTATTTATTTATCAAGAGAGTCGAGGTAGACATTATGCTTGGTCATAACGTAAAACTATATCTGTGATAATGCGGGTTACTTTGATAGTAGAATATAATGATTAAATTTACGTTCTGCACTATTTACGAATTGGAAACATTGGTT